GTACCTTCTCCTCCAATGAGAACTCCCTCTCAAACTCCCCTGTTAGCCGCCCTGTTTGCTCGCAGCTGTACCGCTGCCTGGCTGGGCGGCCGCTTTTATGGGCCCCTTGATCAGCCAAGCCCCGCCCCCTACTCAGGGCTCGGCGTCCTTCCCAGCACCCAGCCCCTGCCGGCCCCTACAAACAAACACACGAGAACACACAAAACAACAAGGACAGATGCAAATACAGGTACCTTCTCCTCCAATGAGAACTCCCTCTCAAACTCCCCTGTTAGCCGCCCTGTTCGGGCCAGCTCCTCTACTCCTTTCCCCCGTTCCCTCTCATCGCCAAGGTCCTTCAGAAGGTGACTCTTGCCTTGTCCGTTTTCATTCTCATAGCCCCGGCGTGGGCCCATCAACACTGGTACGGGCCCCTCCTATGCTTCTTGGCGGCCCCCCCAAGGGCACTGCCGCTCCGCCTGGACCTCCTCTCCCAGGACGGGGCGCGCCTCCTCCATCCCAATCTGGCCGCGCTCCACCTCAGTCAGGGTGCACCTGGCGGCCATATTGGCCTTCCACCCGCTGGTGCAAGGGTACTCAGTCGTCTCCCACTCAATGATCTCCCGTTTCCTGAAGGGCCTCGACCGTTCATTCCCGTACGCTAGACCCCCCCCGTGCTGCAATGGGACCTCAACCTGGTCTTGTCCTGACTCATGGGGGGCCCCCTTTGAACCCCTGGCCACGTGTTCCTGGTCTCACCTCTCTTGGAAGGTGGCCTTCCTTGTAGCGATCACATCGGCCCAACGTGTTTCAGAACTTAAGGCCTTAACCTCGGAACCCCCCTACACGGTCTTCCACAGGGATAAAGTCCAGCTCCACCCACACCCGGCATTCCTCCCGAAGGTGGTCTCCGCTTTCCATATGGAACAGAGCATCTTTCTTCCTGTGCTCTGTTCTAAGCCCCATTCTTCTAATGAGGAACGCCGCCTCCACACACTCGATGTGCGTAGGACGCTGGCTTTTTATCTGGATCAGACCAAGCCATTCCGGAAATCCTCGCAACTTTTTATTGCCTCGGCCGAGCGGGTAAAAGGGCAGCCTATCTCCACCCAACGGCTTTCCCGCTGGATCACTTTGTGCATACGCACGAGCTATGATCTGGCAGGGGTCCCCCCGCCACCGATCATTAGGGCGCACTCAACGAGTGCTCAATCCTCCTCAGCTGCCTATGTAGCCCTTGTCCCTATTCAGGACATTTGTAGGGCGGCCACTTTGGTCTCAGTTCACACATTTACTTCGCATTATGCGATCGTCTCCCAGTCTAGGGATGTCGCCAGGTTCGGCAGGGCGGTACTTTGTCCCGAACTATCGTGAACTCCTACCCACCTCCAACAGTTATTGCTTGGAATCACCTACTGTGGAATACACATGAGCAATCACTCGAAGAAAGGCATTCTTCGAGATGTGTTGCTCAGGTGTATTCCACATCCCGCCCTCCTTCCCCTCTGTCAGAGTTGTCCGGCAAGAAGGAACCGAGGGTGGGGGGAGTGCGCAGCTCCCCTTATAGCGCGGTACAGAGGCGCCACTCTAGGGGTCGCAGCGGTGTTCCCCCCAGTATGGATACTGCTAAGAGGAAAAACTTCCGGCACCAGTGCACGTGGCGAGCACACACACTTACTGTGGAATACACCTGAGCAACACATCTCGAAGAACGCCAGTTACGGAACAGGTAACTGTCCTTTGCTGTTCGAAAGATGAACCAGATTAGGTATATTTAAATCTTTCCTTTCCATGAATATAATGGTACTTTTTTTCCAGGTAAAATGTTGGGGTTTCATGCACCATCCAAAGTTTTTGAAGAATTTGTTAGCCATATCTGCAGAAAATGTTATTGATACAAAGCATAGTACAGAACAAATTGATCAAATTACTGACCATGCTTTCTTGTGCCATGCTCTAGAATAGTAGTTTTCAACCTTTTTTCATTTGCAGACCCTTTGGAAATCTTAGACATAGTCTGCGGACCCCCTGGGGGTCTGTGGACCATGGGTTGAAAACCACTGCTCTTAAAGCTAATACTCAAAATGTCCTACCGTTCAGCGCAGGAACTCCAGGAAGGAAGGAAGGAATGTCTGCGCAGCTAACATGTCATCCTGCTTTTAAAGAATTTAAACATAATAGAATACCACACAAACATAAATTGTGTGGTTCTGAAAGAATAAATTAGAATATAAAAGGCTCTGTAATATACCTAAAATGTCTGAGTGAACTAAAGTATTTAAGAATTGTTTCTTGATTTTGTATTCCTATGCCTGCAGTGTACCATACCTGCCATAGTGAAGAGAAGTGCCCACCCTGTACATACCTCACTCAAAAATGGTGTATGGGCAAGCATGAAGTAAGTGTGGCTGCTATTGAGCAAATTACAAATGAGCAATAGCTTTACGTGGGCTAAACTACACATTACTTTGTAACTTAGAGTAAGCACTTGATATTTACTTTTCTAAGGGCTGGTCCACACTGGGGCGGGGGATCGATCTAGGAAACGCAACTTCAGCTACGAGAATAGCGTAGCTGAAGTCGACATTTCCTAGATCGAACTAAGTTTACTTACTGCGGGTCCACGTGGCGCAGGCAAGCTCCCCCGTCGACAGCGCTTCCTCCTCTCGGCGAGCAGGAGTTCTGCAGTCGAGGGGGGAGCGCTTCTGGGATCGATTTATCGCGTCCAGATGAGACATGATAAATCGATCCCAGAAGATCGATCTCTACCCGCCAAATCGGGCGGGTAGTGTGGACCTAGCCTAAGACTACTCCCCAAGTAGCCACAAAATTGCTACCCACAGAGACTATGCTGATAATGTTTGTAAGTACACTGTTTCATGCAGTTTAAAACGATCAGATGCAGTTTTGCCGCCTTTAGACATCATGTGTACAGACCTGATGCAGTATTTTCAAGTATGACATGACCTATATGTACTCAGGTTTGGGCTTAAAATAGATTGCAAAGAGCTTAGTGCAAAACCATAGATAATTTTCTTCTAAAAATATATGCTATATTAAAATATAAACATGATTAAAAGTATCTGAGAATACACACTTTACAATAACACATTCACTGTTAGTTATACCGTCTTTTTCCTTTTCCAGCTGCGGAACAATATTCCCTGTCATCTCGCTGACATCTCTTGTGGTCTTCGCTGCAATCAAATGTTAAAATGTGGAATGCACAAATGTAAAAGGATTTGTCACAAAGGGGTGTGTCTCATAAATGAAGAGTGCAAACAGCCATGTACTAGTCTGAGACTATACTGTAATCATCCCTGTATGGCTCCGTGCCATCCATCTTTACCTTGTCCTACAACTTCTTGCAACACAAAGGTGATGGCTCTGGAACACAGAACATAATGTACAATTTGTCTGTCTGTCTAAATGAACAGGTTTCAGTCAATAATGAACGATCAATAAAAAAAAAAATACTGACATAGAAACTTTAAAGATGATGCATACTATAAGTATGCAAGTTTTGATATAAATTATTATATTAATATGTGATAAAGCATTATGTATTTCATGGTTATTTTGTTTTTTAAATTGCCGCTAGTAGTTTGAGCAAAAGTACCTGCCAGATTTCTGTCTGTTAAAATATTTGTCCCAGATCCTCAGATGTGATCCATTCACTTTTTGCTCCTGCATAAGCTAGCTCTCTATTGCTTGTGGGGATTTGGTATGGGTAAGGAGATGTGGCAGAGGAGAGCTGAATTTGTCCTCGATTGATATAAAATCGTAGTGAACTTAAGCTAATGACATAACATAGAGCAGCCTTCTGGGGGCAACCACATAGAATAGACTCCTTCACACACCCACATCATCTGATCTTTGCTCAGAAGCAGGGAAAATCAAACTCTGTGTGTTTCACTATAGTAGATGTGAACAAAATAATCTCCCAATGAAAATGGTGGTTCTTCGAGTGCTAGTCCTTATGTGTATTCCACTGTGAGTACATGTGTTTGATGAGCCTGAGAGTGGAAGATCTTGCTACTAGTGTCCATTGGTCCATAGCTGCACTCCTGTTCTCCGAACCTAGGTTAGAATCATAGAATATCAAGGTTGGAAGGGACCTCAGGAGGTCATCTAGTCCAACCCTCTGCTCAAAGCAGGACCAATCCCCAACTAAATCATCCCAGCCAAGGCTTTGTCAAGCCTGACCTTAAAAACCTCTAAGGAAGGAGATTCCATCACCTCCCTAGGTAACCCATTCCAGTGCTTCACCACCCTCCTAGTGAAATTTTTCTTTCTAATATCCAACTTAAACCTCCCCCACTGGAACTTGAGATCATTACTCCTTGTTGTGTCGTCTGGAACCACTGAGAACAGTCTAGATCCATCCTCTTTGGAACCCCCTTTCAGGTAGTTGAAAGCAGCTATCAAATCCCCCCTCATTCTTCTCTTTTGCAGACTAAATAATCCCAGTTCCCTCAACCTCTCCTCATAATTCATGTGCTCCAGCCCCCTAATCATTTTTGTTGCCCTCCGCTGGACTCTTTCCAGTTTTTCCACATCCTTCTTGTACTGTGGGTTGTAAGAGACAATGCAGCCAACCACCTCTCTAGTTCCTGCTTACTGCTGCGTGGTCTGAGATGGAACACTCTAGTGTCCTCAAAGTTCTTCCTTCAACTTTATCTGTATATAGTTTTAAAATATTTTTTTATTAGATAGTGTATTTAGTTAGGAACTGGGGAACCTTTTTTCCCTTTTAGAGGCTTTTCCCCAACCCTATCTCTCTACCCTCTTCCCAGCATGAAGACTGAGCTATGTTGGGAGTACTGGGATTCAAAAACTGCCTCTCGTGCCCATGAGCCTTCCCAGTCAGTGACAATCATCAGAGGTGTCTATGCTGCCTGGGAGAAGTACATTTCTCTACCAGGTGCAGTATCTGCTGCTCCTTTCCTAGCTGGACCTGCCAGGTGCAGGACTTTAGGCTCAGAATACATTTTATGGAGCAGGCAATGAAACCTCAGTCTGATGCAGGCCAGGCAGCCCTCTCGTATATTGGTCAAAGGTATTGAGAAGCATGTCCCCAGTTACCATCATTTTTGATACCTGGGTGAATAGGAATACAATTAAGGACTCCTCCACTCAAGAGAAGCAATCTCTGTCCTCGAGAGAAAACTCTTCCTCTAAGTCCCCTCCCCAATTGTCATTTGAATCATCACGCTCTGGTTCCAAATCCCCAAAGACCCATAGTACTTATTCTGAGGCTTAGAAGACTAACACTTCTCTGGCCACTACCACTTTGCCATCGGTACTGAGCAAAGAGAAGTGCCATGAGTCTCGACCTCCACTACCAAAGAAGTCCTAAGAACCACATGCACTGATGGTACTGTCATGTTTGCATTTGGAATCTAAGACTTCCAAAAGACTTCCTACAGGAGCTCAAGTATGAAGAGACAAATACCATCATCCTCCATCTGGCAAGAAGTATATCACTACCAAGGATATCACTATCTAGTCCAGTCCGCATTCTCCCATTATTTCAGCACTGGTTCTCAACCTGGAGATGTTGACAACCCATGATGGACCCATATCACTGTCCATAGTGGGGACCATGGAACCCATATATCCGTTATCCACAGCCAGTGCAGTTACATAGAGAATCACATCCTCCCCCCTTTCACAAGAGACCATCCTGAGCTCCTTCTATAGCCCATGGAAGAAGGGGGAGAAGAACTGGATCTTGTGTTACCACCCATCCCATCGGGTATATCATCTTCCTCTCCTAACAAAGTGGTCGCTATGTCATTGCCTTCTCCATCAGATGACCAGAGACGGTTCCAGGAGTCTATTAAGGGTGGCTGAGATGATTCCCTCAGGAGGAGGTCCAGGAGTTATCCCACAAACTGCTGGATATTCTCCAGAGTGTTGGAAGGAGTAAGATGGTGCGCCCAGTGAACAAGTCTATCCTAGAGACAGCCAAGGTGGTGTGGCATACTCCAACTATATGTGCCCCTACATGTAAGAGGGCAGAGAAAAGATTTGTCCCATCTAAGGGAGCAGATTTTTTTTTTACTCCATCATGCCTCGAACTGCTTGTGGTGCAAGCTGCCACACAAAGGAGTAGACAACAATAAAGCAGATACCTCCCTTCAGAAAAGGAGGTGAAATGTCTGGACCTTCTGGGAAGGAGGGAATTTACATCAACAAGCTTGCAGTTCCACATAGCCAGTATCCAAGTGCTTCTGGAAAAGTATCATTTTGCCAACTGTTCCAAGTTTTAGGAATTTAGAGACGAGTGCTCTGCCTTCCTTGGGGAGGCAATTCCAGGCCCTTTATTGAATAAGGTAGATTGGTGGCTATATCATCCCTCCAGGCAACGGTAGACATGGCTGATACAGCTTCTAGATCAATGGCTACCAACATTGTGGTGTGAGGGAAAAAACTGGCTTCACTCCTCAGGATTCCCCAGAGAAGTCCTAGCCACTGTGGAGTACTTACAGTTGAAGGAGACAGTGTATTCAGCCAAAAGACTGATGAGTCATTACCCCCATTAAAAGACTTGAAGGTGACCCTCTGCTCCCTGGGTTTATATAGACCAGCTCTCAGGAGGAAATATAGCAAATAATCCTGCACCATCCTGGACCACCAGCTCAGCCCTTCTACCACTGGAAAGGGTACAAACTGCCACAAAAGAGGCAGAGTGTGCAAAGACCCAAGCAGAATGCTGCTCTTTCCATCCTCAACTATCAGGCAAGAAATACTTCTGACAGGACCTCCAAGAGCAGCCAACTCACCCAGAGGCCATGTTCTCCCACCCCTGAAATTCGATTTGGTGGCTAGCTTGCCCAATTTTTCCATATATGGCAATCACAGCAGATGGAAGGGTCTTCTGTGTCATCTGCTTTGATTACACAATGGTTCCTTTCCCCTCCCCCTCCAAAATCCTCTTCCCGCTCCCTTTTCAGGGACCACTCTCATGAAGGAGCATCTTACAGGAAGTACACGCTCTACTTCATCAAGGGTCCACAGAGCAAGTGCCAGCACCAGGGAAACAGTTTTTATTCCAAATATTTCATGATCCCCAAGAAAACAGGAGGATGGAGACCCATGTTAGACCTCCATCACCTCAGTTTCTTTATCTGAAAATTAAGATTCAGAATGGTCACTCTGGCATCAATAATCCTGTCTGAACAGAAACAAATGGTTCACAACTCTTGACATCAAGGGTGCCATTTTCACATAGATATCTTTCTGTCCCAAAGGAGGTTCCTGAGTGGCAGGTACAAACCACTCTCAATACAGGGTGCTTCCCTTTGAATTAGCAACAATACCCAGAGAATTCATAAAAGTGCTTCCAGAAGTAGCAGCACACTTCCGTCCATATCCATGTTCAGTAGTAGCAGAACTCAATAGCCCATATCCATATCTTTCTTATGGGAAAGTCTTGTCGGGAGGCACCCTCATCAACCTCATCCTTACTCACTCTCCAAACATCTGTAGAAATCTGCATAAATGTAGAAAAGTCCACTTTAACGCCAACACAGACCATAGATTTCATCGGAGCAACTCTAGACTCACTTAGAGCCAGAATTTATCTCCCCATGGACAAGTTCATGAACATTCTGATTAATCGGCTCAGAGTCCATTGACATCGGTTCAGACATGCCTCATCCTCCTGGGTCACATGGCATCTTGCACTTAGGACCCCATTTGTAAGATCACAGCTCTGCTGCCTACAAACCTGGCTTCAGACAGTTTACATGCCAAGTAAGCACTGCCTGGACAAGTTTTGTTATGATCCCTCCCAGTGTACACAACTCTAGCTTGGTGGCAGGACAAAGAATAGCTGTGCATAGGAGTTCCCTCACTCCCCACTCCTCAGAAGACATTGATGGCAGATGCCTATCTCAAAGTCTGGGGTACTCATTTGAACAAACACACGGTACAAGGAACATTGACCCCTCTTATAAATCTGTTAGCTTTTAAGGTGTCACTGGACTCCTTGTTTTTGTGGATACAGACTAAGGATATGTCTACAACTACCCGCCGGATCAGCAGGCAGTGATCGATCCAGAGGGGATCGTAAATTGACCCCCGAGCCCTCTCCCATCCTGCAAGAGGCGCAGGCAGAGTCGACGGGGGAGCGGCAGCAGTCGACTCACCGCGGTAAGTCGATCTAAGTACGTCGACTTCAGCTACGTTATTCACGTAGCTAAAGTTGCGTAACTTAGATCGATCCCCCACGCCCCCCCACAGTGTAGACTAGGGCTAACGCAGCTATCCCTCTGATATAAATCTTCTGGAACTGAAAGCAGTTCAGGAAGCCTGCATATGGTTCTTACCATTTATCCACTCCCAACATGTTCAGGTAATGTTGGGCAACATAACTGTATTCTATATGAACAAGCAAAGGGCGGGGGGAGCAAGATCTACACCCCTTTGTATAGAGATGGTCCACCAATAATTGGTGTATTCATCATCAAATAATGCTGTCAGCAGTACACTTCTCTGGAATACACAATACTCTAATAGAAAGCCTTAGCTGTCACTCTTAGACCGAACGCAATTGGGAGATTCATGACTCAGTGGTAGGAGACATATTCCAACAATGGATATCCCCATTTCTAGACCTATTTGTGTTGCAGGACAACAAACAATGCGCTGCGCAAGGGGGCAAAGGGACAGAATTCCAGAGATGATGCCCTTCTAATCCCATGGTCAGGCAGTCTGATGTACGCATTTCCCCCCCATCCCACTCCTACTTCAAATTCTCAGGAAGATCTGGGAGGGTATGGCAATCATCCTCATCACTACCAGGTGGCCAAAGACCGTTTTGGTTTCCTGTTCTTCGGCTGTCATCCCATCCGCCAGTCAGCATTCAACCCTTCCGAGATATCCTGAGGCAGGACAAGAGCAGGCTCAGACATCCAAATCCAGGACCAGCTTCACCTCACAGCACAGTATTTGGATAGGCATCAAACCTAGAGTAGAAATGTTTGGCAGCTGTTAATCATTCTTAGCAACTGCTGGAAAGAGTCCACCAGCAAGTGTTTCTTCGCAAAGTGGAAAAGATTCTATGGTTGGGCCCTACACACCATATGTCCTGAGGGGAAATGAATATTCCTACTATTTTGGACTGTCTACCAACCTTGAAATCCTCCAGGCTTTCCATTAGCTTGCTATGCATTCATTTGGCAATGATCAGTGCCTGCCATCCTCTGATCAACAACTGTTCGATCTTCATACATCCAGTTACTGGTTGTTTTTTTAAAGGTTTACTCAAACCTTTCTGGTGGCCATCACTTCAGCTAGAAAGGTAAGCAAATTGGGGGCCCTAATAGCTAATCCACCTTAGACCATATTCCATAAAGATAAGGTTTCCGTAAATTTGTCCCCAGAGTAGTCTCCAATTTCTACATTAATCAGTCCATACACTTATCTGTGTTCGTCCCTAAGCCTCATACCACCAATAAGGAATAGAGACTCCATTCCCTGGATGTGTTCAGGCATTGGTATTCTATCTTCAAAGAACAAAATCCTTTAGGAGGTCACCCAGGCTCTTTGTTGGCATTGCAGAATACATGAGAAGGCAAGTGATCTCGTTGTAAAGATGAAGTGGATATTGGGGTGTACCTTGCTCTGTTGCCAGGTGTTGAAAACTCCTCCACTGCATAGAGTGAGGGCCCACTCCACCAGAGCAAATGCTGCTTCAGTAGCTTCATTTAAGGGCATACCTCTTGTTGACTTTTATGTAAAGCAGCCACGTGGAGTCCCTGGTGCACACCTCAGCTGATGCATCCTTTGGGACCATGGTCCTTCAATCCTCAATACCACAATACCACCTCACACACCCCTTCTTCTTGAATACTATTTGTCAGTCACTCACAGGGAAATACACATAGGGACCAGCATTCAAAGAAGAAGGAATGGTTACCTATTTTCTATAACCAGAGTTCTTTGTGATGTGTTCCCTCTCTGTATTCCATTACCTATCCTCCTTCCCCTCTTCTTCAAGGCATAGACTATATGCCTCAGGTCAGAGCATGAGGCAAGCAAGAGCACAGGCACGGTCACTAGCAAGAATCTTCAGTCTTGATCACATGGAGCGCATGTGTACCCACAGTGAAATACACATAGGGACCAAACATCTTGAAGAAAAACTCCAGTTACGGAAGGTAAGTAATCTTTCTTTTCTTTCTTTAGCTCATGTCTACCGTAGAAACTATATACAGAAATCAATTGAATTTTTAGTAAAAAAACAAATGAGTTTTCAAGATTAACATTTTTTTAAGCCTGTATAATGTTTTGGAAGACTAGATTTCTGATATATTTGTTACAAATAAAGAGGAAAAAATTGATTTACTGCTTTCATGGCATAACAGGTTGATCTTCAGTGTGAATGTGGAAGAAGAAAGGAGAGTATGATTTGCTCAGAAGCATCTAGTACATATCAAAGGTTTGTACTGGTTATTTTATTCCTTGTCCTTTTCTCGACTTCCTTTCTTCTACAGTTTCTCAAAGTTAGGGTTTCTGCATTTGACTTTTATATGGTAACCTATTGGGTTCACCTGCTCTGTTATATACACTTTTCCCAAATTAAATGAGCTACCCTATAGTTCTTTTTCCCCTCCTCCCTATTCTTCTGAACTTATTTGCTCACCAGTATGTACTGAAAGATATTTGTTCTCTCATTGCTGATTGGAGGTAGAGCAGAACTTTGGTTGCATATCAGGGCTAGGATCTCCCGTCCCTGGAACGCTACAGAGCTCTAGCCATCCAGAGCTATTTAGATGCAGACTATACCAATGACTCTAAATTATTTCTAAATTTCTTCATTCTATTTATTTACATTTGGATTATATTGGAAACACCAGGAGGAGATTGGGGACTTTTTAAATCCTAAAGTACAATTACTGCTGGGTAGCACTTTTGTCTCTTCCTTTCAAGACCATGACAAATGCCTAAAAAGTAAAGGGGTGCAAATGCTGTCTATGTGGCTTCTTCCCTCACTGCCAGGTCTCAGAGTACAAAATACCTGAAATGCATGGGCAAGATATCCATAAAGTGTGTGGAAAAGCTAGATGCCTGTGCAGTCTTCAGAAAGAGGAGCGTGTAGTTCCCAGTCGTCATGTAGGTCAAATCTCTATCAATCTGTTGGAACAGGTTGCAGGGCCCTTCCCTGTACTTCATAATACAATAGGTGTCACACACACCACCAAAAAGGTGCAAGCGTGTGCCGAACAGTGTTTGTTTAGTCCCATTAACTTCAATGAAACTACTCATATGTTAAAGATTATGTGTTGAATCAGGGCCCCAGTTTTTTATAATGGATCACTGTCCAGAATGGTGTCACTTATGCCGGGGTCATCTGTGCTAGTCATCACAATTGCTTCCTTGAAGGAACACAGGATCATCTCCCACACATTTTTAATGGTAGTGTTGGACTGGTAGTTGGAGAGAATATAATATTCAAGGAATAGATTACCATTCTCACTGATGCATTCCATTCTCACACTGCAAAAACTGTCAAACTGTTACCTTTGTCACCAATACTTTAATAGACAAAATAACCCATACCAAAGCCAGAACAGTGACATTATCAAAGCATGCATCAATTTGACATTACCTGATTATTAGGAGCAATGAGGAGAGGCTGAGGGAACTGGGGTTATTTAGTCTGCAGAAGAGAAGAGTGAGGCGGGGGATTTGATAGCAGACTTCAACTACCTGAAGGGGGTTTCCATAGAGGATGGAGCTAGGCTGTTCTCATTGGTGGCAGATGACAGAAGAAGAAGCAATGGTCTCAAGTTGCAGTAGGGCAGATCTAGGTTGGCTATTAGGCAACACTATTTCACTGGGCGAGTGGTGAAGCACTGGAAGGGTTACCTAGGGAGGTGTAAAAGCAGCAAAGAGTCCTGTGGCACCTAACAGACGTATAGGAGCATGAGCTTTCGTGGGTGAATACCCACTTCTTCGGATGCATGTAGTGGAAATTTCCAGAGGCAGGTATAAATATGCAAGCAAGAGTGAGTCAGGCTAGAGATAATGAGGTTAGTTCAATCAGGGAGGATGAGGCCCTCTTCTAGCAGTTGAGGTGTGAACACCAAGGGAGGAGAAACTGCTTTTGTAGTTGGCTAGCCATTCACAGTCTTTGTTTAATCCTGAGCTGATGGTGTCAAATTTGCAGATGAACTGAAGCTCAGCAGTTTCTCTTTGAAGTCTGGTACTGAAGCTTTTTTGCTGCAGGATGGCTACCTTTAAATCTGCTATTGTTTGTCCAGGGAGGTTGAAGTGTTCTCCTACAGGTTTTTGTATATTGCCATTCCTGATTTGTGTCCATTTATCCTTTTACGTAGGGACTGTCCAGTTTGGCCGATGTACATAGCAGAGAGGCATTGCTCGCATATGATGGTGTATATTACATTGGTGGACGTGCAGGTGAATGAGCCGGTGATGGTGTGGCTGATCTGGTTAGGTCCTGTGATGGTGTCGCTGGTGTAGATATGTGGGCAGAGTTGGCATCGAGGTTTGTTGCATGGGTTGGTTCATGAGTTAGTTACTATGGTGCGGTGTGTAGTTACTGGTGAGAATATGCTTCAGGTTGGCGAATTGTCTGTGGGCGAGGACTGGCCTGCCACCCAAGGCCTGTGAAAGTGAGGGATCGTTGTCCAGGATGGGTTGTAGATCACTGATGTTGCATTGGAGAGGTTTTAGCTGGGGACTGTATGTGATGGCCAGTGGAGTTCTGTTGGATTCTTTCTTGGGCTTGTCTTGCAGTAGGAGGCTTCTGGGTACACGTCTGGCTCTGTTGATCTGTTTCCTTAGGGTTTTTAAGGTCCAGCTTGACAAAGCCTTGGCTCGGATGATTTACTTGGTGTTGGCCCTGTTTTGAGCAGGGGATTGGACTAGATGCCCTCCTGAGGTCTCTTCCAACCCTAATATTCTATGACAAGATACTGCAACTATCTGAATATCTAATGGTTTGTTACTGAGTGACTCCTACTCTATGAAACTGATGAAGGAATACTTTGATAATATTCCACACATGCCTTTAACAGGTAAGGAGACGTGTAATAATAATGCACTCTTCTCATCTGGAAAGAATATAAAAGAAAATTTACTGGTCCAAAGATTTATAAAATAATTTATATAAATTGGAAAGACATTTTTTAGCATCCTGACAGGGTATGAAGGGACATGCCCTCATTCTAATGGAGAGGAGACTAAGGAGCTGTTCTGGACCTGTTCAGCATTAATGAGGCACACTTGTAAGCCTTGTTCTGCCTGGAAAAGCGGGGAGCTTAAAAACAGAAATCTGCCACAGGAAGAGGCAGTGAATAGGAGGGCTGCTCCACCTCAGAGGCTGCTGACAACAGAGACAGGTCAGCCAAGAGGGAGACAGGCCTTACCTCTCCCAAAGCTACACAGACTAGCTACAAAGCAAGATGCCCCAAGAGGAGGGGCTAGAGGTAGACCCCTCTACAAGACAAGAGACTCGCTGATAGACCAAGTCCAAAGAGCTGAATCCAGAAAGACTGCCTAACTCACAGGCCACTTTTGCCTTGCTGTGTTTTCCTTTCCTTCAAGAGAGAGGACCATTCTTTTGTCTCTGTTATATTCAGAGAACCCCTCATATGCTACGTTTGTTATATTCAGAGAACCCTCATATGCTACGAAAAATATTCTATTGTCAGGCTGTCTAAAATGCTTGTGGCCTGATTTTTAAGAACTTAGCATTTATAGCACTTTATTTGTTCAGAGCACAGTTCTCATTGACTTAATTTTTCAGCTATGAGCCCTCTCAGCACTTCTGCTAAACAGATCTTAGGATGTTAAGTGGAGCACCAGAACATGAGGAGGACACAGTGACCACCTGTAAACAGTCTGGTTTAAGTGACTTGCCCAGCTATTGAGTTCTTAACTTTGCAATATTAACTGACATTTAACATAGTTTTTTGTGTGTAATTTTACTAAGTTTTTATACAACCAAAGTGGGGGGAAATGTAAATTCCATTATGAAGAACCGTATTAACTCCCAGATGGTTCATCAGTAAGGTTAGAACTGTTAGCTCCACAACCCCTACTTCTACCTCTTGAGCTAGAAAAATAACTGATAGTAGTAGTAGTAGTAGTAGTAGTAAGTTGTCTTCTTCTATGTGGACAACCGACTAGAGGGGGATGAGACATACTTTGCCAGTAGATTTTACAGCTGTTTGCTGACAGGAGAGGATTGTTGAAACTCAGGAATCTAGGAATTCCAGGTTTTGAGAGAAGTGTGCTCGAGTGCTTTGAGATCCTTCTGCCCCTGGTCACTCCAACCTGTCCTCATCTGAATCCCAGTTTCCCCTTGGCTCCTCATCCCAGTCTCTCCCAATCCCCTGACTTCTCGTCCTGGTATGAGTCTTCCATCATCCCCTTGCTCCCCCCAGGCCCAGTTCCTCACCTCTCTGCATTCCAGCAAGGCTGCTTCTTCGAGTGCTTGCACCTGTTGATTCCATTCTAGGTGTGTGCCCGCCCATGTGCACCATTGTCAGAATTTTTTGTCTTAGCAGTATCCGTAGGGCCAGCTTTGGCACCCTCTGCAGTCCTGTGATCATGCCCTGGTATATGAGGTACCACCGGCTCTGCACCGTCTCAGTTCCTTCTTATCGGCTGTGACGGTTGGTTGGAGTGCCCTCCTCTTGCATTTGCAAGTGATATAGCGGTTTTCATAGTTAATTAGCGTTAGTCGTTTGTATAGTGTTCTATGGTTAGTGTCCCCATTAGGGATCTCGTCCCAGGAACGGGGCTTGCCCTGGTTCCCGGGCTTCAAGCCGTGCTCAGTCTGCAACAAGCCTATGCCAGTTAGCACCCCCATAGCAGCTGCCTAAAGTGCTTGGGGAGTCGCATGTGAAGGAGAGGTGCAGGATTTGTAAAAACTTTAGGCCAACGACCGAAAAAGAATCAGACATTTAACTTAAAGCCCTCCTCAGGGAGGCTGCACTTCGCCCAGTGTCGGAGCCATCCCGCTCCCTCAATTCAACGCCTAGTACATCCACGTCAGTGCAGAGTGCCCCGCCGGCACCGAGTTCCTCTCAGCACCGCTCCCCCTCGCAGGTGCCTAAGAAGCACCAGAAAAAGCAGCATGGCTCCCCAGCACCAAGTAAAGAGGGAAATAGGGTGTTGAGCAAAGAACCTGTTTGGGCTGCCTGCCCACCCCGGAGCTCCAAGGGGGTACCTCTCCATCTGGACCCCTCAGCCCACCCAGGGTTCCACCTCCGACTCCTCCAAGTGGTATGGGACCCCCGTACTTGTTTAGTGCCTTTTGGCACCCAAGGTCTTCTAGGTGGCTAGGAACCTTATGGCCCTCTTGGCACTGCCTACGCCATGTCCAGCAGTAGATACTGCTAAGGCTTCCCAGTCCAAGGGCAAGCCAGCCATGGGTCTGCCTCAAAGGGTAGTGGACCATTGCTGGTC